CATGTTAATACAGGAAATTTTTTTTGACAATTCAGGCGACTGAACTTAGCAACATGAATTCTGTGGCCACTTGTACCATTTAAAGCGCGAAATTCAAATAGAAATTTAAAACATTGTGAATTCACCTATTTTAAATATATACGGTAGAAAGCAATGTGTTTAGTCTTTGGATATGTGATATGAATATATACGGTAAAAAAGCAAAGTCTTTAGGTTGTGATAATAATTTTTATAAAAAAAATTATAGATTTGAAATATGTACATTTTGCTTTTTACCGTATATATTCATATCACATATCCAAAGACTAAACACATTGCTTTCTACCGTATATATTAAAATAGGTGAATTTCACAATGTTTTAAATTTCTATTTGAATTTCGCGCTTAAATGGTACAAGTGGCCACAGAATTCATGTTGCTAAGTTCAGTCGCCTGAATTGTCAAAAAAAATTTCCTGTATTAACATGTGCTAGGTTTAATTAAGACTTTTTAATTAAATCTTTGATTAGTTTTAATTAATTTATGCATCAAAACGTGTAATTAATTTAGTAGATCAATTTGATATAATAAATTTATCGTAAAACGTTAATTAAAAGCCAAAAAATGGGTATGTTTGGAAGTGCCTAGGTGTACCTTGAATAGTTTGATAAGTATCTCTTTCAGGGTCTCCTTTTTGAGTCAGTTTTATAATTAAACAATGTATTTACAGTGCCAATGTATCCTTTAATTATATACTTGAGTAGTACCTTGTATAGTATACTACCTTGAATAGTTTGATAAGTATCTCTTTCAGGGTCTCCATTTTGAATCAGTTTTATAATTAAACCATGTATTTACAGTGCCAATGTATCCTTTAATTATATACATGCAATTATCAATAGTAAATTTATATATGTGCTTTTGTAGGTTACATTTAAGTACTTCCAACACATATCTGTTATTATCGAATTCTAAATTCACGAATGTCTTTAATATAAGTTGTGTGTCGTGTATTGTGTAAAGACTTTACTCGGACTATTGCAACAGGTCAAATATACTTATAAAAAAGTAAAGTAATGTAGTGGTTCTAAAGTAGTGATTTTGTGTTGACTACTTGAGATTTCTGGTAGATGCTCCAGAGGTGGTTCGAGTAATGACTTAGTGTTTTGGGAGCTGCTGCAGAGGATATCTAACAATGTAAGTGTAAAGCATGTTTTATACATAGCGAGTCAAAGAATATTTTTCTGGAATTATATACAGATATTTATTGTATTATATCTGTTGCACCTATATTGTTTTAAATATTCAATATTTAACTTATATATGTATATTGATTGTTTCTTTTCCGAACAGTAACACTAATAATAAAAAACAATTTGTTTTTTGAAGATGTTTAATAACGACGTTTTGGAACTAGATACGTTCCATCATCAGGTTTATTCTGTCAAAGACTATGTTTTTTTTAACTATTGACTAACATTAATTAATGATGGTTATTACATATTATTTAGAAAAATTATAAAGAAATGGATTATGTACCAGTCTAAAGAGTAAAAAATGTATCCAAAAAAGGTTTATATATAAAATTGAGAAGCAAAAATTATTTATCTGTAATAATTTATATATCCATATCACTAATATTTCGTTAAAACACTCGTTTTTTTTTTGAGAATATTTGTAAATTTTGAATTTAAAGCAGTCAAATGATTTTGAAAATCTTTACTTCAACACAATATTGTTTTGTCATCTTTAGTGAAACTATAATTTCAATTTCAAATAAAAAGATATTACTTATAATTTATTTTCTGAAAGGAGTTTACAATTATTGACCGAGTTTGTGTTACATGCTACCTTTTATGTTTGTAACAATATATTTCTTATTTTGTATATATTTTAGTGGAATATTTTCTGGCTCGTGCATTATTAATATAATTATATACATATATCTGCTGAAAATATTGTTTATATCATAATATTTGAGTCAATATCATTTTTTACTTAGTATACTTATATAATCTATTTTTTGTTTTTTCAACAACAACTATTATGCGAATAAAAGATTTTAAATTAATTTGGCAGACATATGTGTAAAAGACTTAAGTTCTTATTTAATTTGTTATGGGGAAAACATGTTGATTCAGTCTTTTTTTTATTTATTCATACAAGTGCCTTTTATACATGTTCTAAATCAATATTAAACAATAAAGTTTGTACTTCACGTATGTATCAAAGATATTGAAAGTTACATTATTATTATTCCATAAAGAGTCAATCTGAAATTTTTTTGTTCTATAATAACACTATGAGCTTACTTTGTGTTGAATTCAGAATTTTTATATAGTAAATTTCTATTACTAAATTATTAGTTAACCAATACAGCTTTTTGTATGCATCGATTACTTATTTGTTGAAGGGGTCCTAGCACTTCACCTTAGGTAACTCCTAAATTGATGGTATTTTGTTACAAATTACAAATTACAAATTTACTTTGTTGCTTTTCTATTACACCTCTTGTTTATTATTCCACGGAAACAATTTTTAAATTGCATTTTCAGTATCAAGAATCATGTGTTTTCCCTGTAGCGATATTGACAGCATGTACATTTTTATTTATGGATAACACGATTGCTGGTTTTGATCAAAATATTTCCAATACTCAATATGACTTACCAAATTGTTGAATAATGCAGGTTTTAAAAGTTTTTCATCATAATTTTATTTTAAATTTATTCAATTATATTGCTGCATAGCTAAATGATAGATTTTTATTCTTTTATTGATAAAAACAATTTTGATCAAGACATGCAATCAAAGTTTCGAAGAGTTGACTTGAATGATTAGACAAAACATAATTTTGTTAACAAGTTTATTATTCGATTCAAATTGTAAAATTATTTAACTCAATTTCTAAAGGATAGAAATCAGCTTTAAACAGTTTTGAAGTTTTTAATGTTCCAGTTTTTGAACATTTTTGTTTATTTCATTTTACAAGTTTTATTGAATTTCTTTCATGGCTTTTTCCAATAATTTGTTTATTATTCAAGTCAACCACACTTGTTTTTGTCTCGATTAATTGCAAAGGTTTCACATGTTTTATCAAGTCATATAAATAATTTTGATTCGATTAATATCATTTCATTTCATCGATTAATTAAATAATTCTCTCGAATAATTTTTTTTTTTCAAGTCCAAATTTTCTGATTATAATTCTTTCGAATAATTTTTTTTTTTTCTAAGTGCTTTCAGATATTTTTTTTCTAAGTCCAAATTTTCTGATTATAATTCTTCGAATAATTTTTTTTTTTTCGAAGTCCTTTCAGATAATTTTTTTTCTAAGTCCAAATTTTCTGAAACCTTTTCAATTAAGACAGACGAGTTATTTATGCATGCTGTATTATCCCAAAGCCAACATTCGAATGAATGAGGCTCACATTGAATATTTCACAACGAGAAAATTTTATTGGGGCAAAGTTAAAAATTTTAACTAAGTCCCAGTAATTTTTTTCTCGTTGTGAAAATTTCAACGTGGACTTCATTTCATTCGAGTGTTGGTTTTGGGAATTGGTGTGAGGGAACACTAAAAAACATAAAAAAAGTTTCAACGCTGAACAGAAAAGAGAAAAATTGACCTGGGACTTGGGGGTTTTTTTTAGGTCCTCCACCTCCCCTCTCCCTCCTCCTCCTCCTTTTTCCCTTTTTTTTCCCCTTTTTTCGCTTTTTTTTTCACATTTTTTTTCCTTTTTTTTGTTTTGTTTTTTCGCATGTTTGTCGTTTTTGGGTAGATTTTCGGTTTGGCATGGATCTTCCGCAATGTGTCCCTCTGCGTGTGACCTGTCGCACCATGAACCTCAGGTTGACCATCACTTTGTGTGCTCGTTTCAGGACCCACCGCGCCTGCCAACAGCCAGTCACCAGCACTGCTCCCTTTTTTTCTGCTTCAGAGTTGGTCGTCGTTGCCTGCAGTTGGACTCGATCCGTCTCACCTTGTGCCTCCAGAGCGATTTCACCGAGTATGCGGTC